CATCCGATGGCCAATGTTTGATATACATGGACTTAGCGAGAACTACCGGGTATTTTAAAATATTATCCGATCTATCGGCTTTGAAATCATTGAAAAGAGATCTCAACCTTATAGAATCGATTGCTTTAACTAACCAGGTTTGCCTTAAATATTCGGATCATCAAATAATATCGCCCGTAGCGATATGTCATTAGTTTCACCAATTCTAACAGCCCAACGATACCATCTGCTGCTTTATTCTAACAAAATTATGAAAATGAAAAATTTAGTCTTTAAAAATGAAATATAGTCTAGTTTTTTTGTTATTGTTTTTTGTTATTGTTTTTTTTTATCGTTTTACACACATGTCTCCGGGAGGGGTTGGGCAGTTGACTTACTCCGATTGCATCCCCCCCCCCTTGATTATTTCAGAAATTTTTTCCCGGGGGGCACTTCAGATTTTTTTCGGGGGCGGGGGCAGTGCCAGCAGTGACCAGTTGATTTATTGCTCGGGGGGGGGCACATGGCTTTCCCGGGGGGCGGGCAATGACCCCACCCCCCCGAGATATAGCTGAAAGAAGACCCCCCCCCCGATCAGCCTGAAAATAAAAGGTGGGAGCCAATAATGTGACATTTTTAATGGTCTCTTAAAGGGAGCCATTTGGTTATTTTGAGCGGAGTCATATACTGATTTATAACTTTATCAGAGCTGAGAGAGAGATAGCGAGAGAGACAGAGAGACAAAGAGGAAGAGGGGAGAGAAAGGCAGAGGGGGGTAGAGAAGGTGGGGGGATTTAGATATGGGGAATGCAGAGACGTGGCTAAGAGGGGGGGGCAGGAGGACATATGTCACTGGGTGCCAGATGAGTTAAGGGTGCCACAACGTGCTTTGATATTATTTTATTGATGATTTATAACTTTATCAGAGCTGAGAGAGAGATAGCGAGAGAGACAGAGAGACAAAGAGGAAGAGGGGAGAGAAAGGCAGAGGGGGTTAGAGAAGGTGGGGGGATTTAGATATGGGGAATGCAGAGACGTGGCTAAGAGGGGGGGGCAGGAGGACATATGTCCCTGGGTGCCAGATTAGTTAAGGGTGCCAAAATGTGCTTTGATATTATTTTATTGATGAAAATAATGGGTTTGAGAGTTGAAAAAAGAAAGAAGTCTCTTTAGCATGAATCTTGTCCCGGGCGCCGAACACGCTAACTACGCCCCTGAGTAAATGATGCGCAACCAAGACTTGAAAAAAGGTTCTATTTTTCGGAGGGGTGGGCGTGGGGCAAGGTTTCTAGGCAACAGGTTTATTTATCTTCATGATTCTCACATCTTACCCACCAGTGTCGTCATAAATTTAACTCTTCACTCCTTCTAGTACTTAATTTATGTGCTAACAGGCAGTGTCTCCTGATCCTCTGTTGTTTAAAGAGATGTGTGATGGCTGTGTTCAAATACCATTTGAATAATGAGGTAAAGATACCTTTCCATTTATCATAGTTGCCACCCCCACCCCTTTTTTTTTAAAGTGCACAATTGAGGGGGGTTAGATCCCCATTTCATCTCCTTTCAGTGACACACGCGCGGTGGCCATTTTGTCACACGTGACATTCGGAAGCTTGTTTGACATATGGTTGAGATTCGACATATGGTCTAAGATTCGACATATGATTAAGATTTGACATATGGTTTAAGATTCGACATATGGTTAAGATTTGACGTATGGTCAAAATGGACCCGCATGGGCCTCCATCGACACACCTGTGCCGCCACTGACACACACGTGTCTCCACTGACTCACACGTACGTACATTGACACGCTCTGGGTTACTATGTGTAGAGTACGTGTCCCAGTGCAGCTGAATTTGTGTACACAACAGTCTATTTGCCATAACCTCTTCATTGGTGGTAACCATAAGTGAACCTAGTTGTTCCATAGAGCCCAAGATTGCGCGCGCACCGGGGCAGGCATTATTGTTGCCAATATCGGTGTTTTTATTTTTTTAAATTGAAAAATGTTGACTTTACTTTTGGAGTAATACTTTTTTTTTTTTGCATCACTTGTGTTATAATCATGATTAATTAACTTCATTTTTTTTTTTTCAAATGTTGACAGCCATCACGAAATTTCTTGACGTTCAAATGCCGTCAGTTGACATTTACTGCTGTGTTCCGCTTTTAAAACCATTCTCGTGTGACGCCCTTGAAGTCTTTATTGATGCCGGAAGTCTCTTGGGCGGAGCCCACGCTTATCATCAACAGCCCATGCGGAGAGTCACGTGACCCACATTGACCCGTGCTGCCGGCGCCCATGCGGAGAGTCATGTGACCCACATTGACCCGTGCTGCCGGCGCCCATGCGGAGAGTCATGTGACCCACATTGACCCGTGCTGCCGGCGCCCATGCGGAGAGTCATGTGACCCACATTGACCCGTGCTGCCGGCGCCCATTCTGAGAGTCATGTGACCCACATTGACCCGTGCTGCCGGCGCCCATTCTGAGAGTCATGCTCGAGTAGATCATAGAAAAAAACCAGCCAGACGTGAATTCATTCATGCACAAATCGATGTCTCAAAATGCGAAAATGTTGTGTTTTTTTTTTTTTTTTTTTTNATGTGACCCACATTGACCCGTGCTGCCGGCGCCCATTCTGAGAGTCATGCTCGAGTAGATCATAGAAAAAAACCAGCCAGACGTGAATTCATTCATGCACAAATCGATGTCTCAAAATGCGAAAATGTTGTGTTTTTTTTTTTTTTTTTTTTCAATACCCGATACAGCCGGTACTGCTGGTACAGCCGGTACAGGATTGGCCTCTGGAAGAAAAAACAACAAAACCAACTTTTGAAGGCCGACTGAATGGGGACAAGAAACACACCTGGAGGGTTACGCTTGACTGACGGAAAGCACGGTTATAAATTAAATGTCATAAAATAAACATTTGTGTGTGCTTTTATTTTTAAAATATATTTATTATTAAAAAAAAAAAAAGATCAACAAACAACATTGTATAATTTTATCAACAACACATGGATGGCGCAAATTGAGCAGTTGAGCGTCATGTTTTTATGTGTAAGTAAACAGGAGGTATGTGAGTGTAAGTATGTGTATGTGTGCGCGTGTGTGTGTTCTGGTATAGGTGGGAAATGCGTCAGCGGCAAGATCGGATGACAGACTTTAAATTTATCGTCGTAGCAACTTAATGGAGGAAAAGGTCAGGTGGTTTTGTAAGAACAGACAGGAGGTTAAGTGGAGTGTGGGGTTGGACTTTGGTTGGAGGGGAGAAGGGGGTGGGGGTCAAGGTAAGGTTTTAGAATATAATATATTTGGGTCATTATGAAATGTTTGGATAGAGGGCGCCGGTATCAATCAGACGTCACGGCCCGATAAAAGAAAGGGAAGGACAGGGAGAATCTTTCCGTGTGTGTGTGTGTGATGAAATAAGTCAAAGAAAAGAAGTCACAAAATAAGTCATAGGAAAATAAGTTACAGGGAAAATAAGTCACGAAAAAAGTCAAAGGGAAAAAAGTCACAGGGAAAAGTCAGACCGACAAATAAAATTAGACTCTACAGTTTATAAAAAAAGTTTTTCTGTCACTTGTTTTTTATGTGTCTTTTTCCCCTATGACTTATTGTCCTGTGACTTATTGTCCTGTGACTTTTCCCCCTGTGACTTCTTGTCCTGCGACTTTTCACCCCTGTGACTTATTGTCCTATAACTTCCCCCCCCCCCGGTGACTTATTGTCCTGTGACTTTTCCCCCCTGTACTTATTGTCCTGTGACTTTTCCCCCCTGTACTTATTGTCCTGTGACTTTTCCCCCCGGTGACTTATTGTCCTGTGACTTTTCCCCCCTGTACTTATTGTCCTGTGACTTTTCCCCCCTGTGACTTATTGTCCTGTGACTTTTTCCTCTTGTGACTTATTGTCCTGTGACTTTTTCCTTATGACTTATTGTCCTGTGACTTTCCCCCCCCTGTACTTATTGTCCTGTGACTTTTCCCCCCTGTACTTATTGTCCTGTGACTTTTCCCCCCTGTACTTATTGTCCTGTGACTTTTCCCCCCTGTACTTATTGTCCTGTGACTTTTCCCCCCTGTACTTATTGTCCTGTGACTTCCCCCTGTGACTTATTGTCCTGTGACTTCCCCCTGTGACTTATTGTCCTGTGACTTTTTCCTCTTGTGACTTATTGTCCTGTGACTTTTTCCTTATGACTTATTGTCCTGTGACTTTTTTTCCTTATTTTATTTGTCGGCGCACAGGGGATTAAGTTGTCCTGAGGATAGCACCATGTACACAGGGGATTAAGTTGTCCTGAGGATAGCACCATGTACACAGGGGATTAAGTTGTCCTGAGGATAGCATGTACATGGGGGATTAAGTTGTCCTGAGGATAGCATGTACATGGGGATTAAGTTGTCCTGAGGATAGCATGTACACAGGGGATTAAGTTGTCATGAGGATAGCACCATGTACACAGGGGATTAAGTTGTCCTGAGGATAGCACCATGAACACAGGGGATTAAGTTGTCATGAGGATAGCACCATGTACACAGGGGATTAAACTTAAATGAGAATTGCATGTACATGGGTAGATTAAATGTTAATGAGGATAACATGTACATGGGGGATTAAGTTCCATGAGGATAGCATGTACATGGGGGATTAATTTGTCAAGAGGATAACATGTACATGGGGGATTAATTTGTCAAGAGGATAACATGTACATGGGGGATTAAGTTTCATGAGGATAGCACCATGTACACAGGGGATTAATTTATCATGGGGATAGCATGTAGATGGGAGGATTTAGTTGTCATAAGGATAGCAGCATGTACACAAGGTATTAAGAATTTGTCAAATATCTTTTAAGAAAACCATCAATACAATGTTAAATCAACATTTTTTTTAAGAGTGAGAAAATCATCCATTCCATCCAACCATCATGTTCACTTAGTCTAATAAGACACATAAGACACAATCATTGGACCGGTCATTGAGTACTTATAAAGTACATATCAATGGACGGTTCTCTGAGTACTTTTAATTACATATAAATGGAGGTTCTCTAAATACTTTTAAAGTACATGTAAATGTAGGGTTTTCTGCGTACCTATCCTGTAACTTTACATGAAGTACTGAGTACTTATCGTTCACATGTAAATTAAAGGCAAAGGGTGCCGATATGTTTCGAATATTGGTGCTTTTGAGCACAATCCATTGACGGTTGTCATCGGGTCCATTTAGAAGTTTTCGTGACATGATTGACCATGCATTTCAAAGTGAGTCGTCTCTGGTCTGTCCTACGTTGAAGTTGTCACCTTAACTCATGCATTGGACTGCCGATTGTATCATGCAGATTTTTAATCTAATATGAAGTTAAGACCATGTTTCTGATGTAGATACATTTCTGACATAGACATGTTTCTGACGTAGACATGTTTTTAACACCTTCGTGGGCCCTCGTAATAAAGAAGAAGAAGACTTGTTTCTGACGTAGATATGCCATCAGCAAATGATACCATCAACAAATGCTGCCATCTGCAAATGCTGCAATCAGCAAATGATGTCATCAATAAATGCTGCCATCAATAAATGTATGTCATCAATAAATGCTGCCATCAGCAAGTGCTGCCAAAGGACGGGACGAGTCTGTACCACAATATTGTGGACTATAATCGTCTAGAGATTTTTTTTCTTCTTAATCTTTTAAGATTTATTTGCGCTGCTCAGCTTATCGGGACATCAGATTGCAGCCACTTTTGAGTAGTGACGTGTTTTCAGTAACTGGTGGTCCAGTATCAGCGAGCCCTCATAGGGCTCGTTTTGCTGTGGTCAGCGCTCAACCTGTTATGGGACTTTTTTGTTGCTGCAAATCCCAAACTTTGATCCTCGCCAAGAATAGTCGCCTTACTGGACTGTCCAGTCCATTCAATAAGCTATATTGGCATTGTGACTTTCTGTAACAAGATCCCCATTTGTCTAGTTTACTTTCTGTGCATAGTTCACCATTTTACTGGTTTTAAGTTTTTTGTAAACAGTTCACTAATATGTCTGGTTCACTTTCTGCACAGCGTTTATTATCAACACGATTCGCTGCCATCGCAAAGCCCACCATCTTTACGATTCACTTATCCACATCAAATAGGATGTTGTGTTCATGGTTGACCATATGCTGCGTGAGTCGCTTTGTCTAGTTCGCTATCTATCAGGTTCATGTGCATTGAAAAGTTTAAAAGCATCATGCCAGTCGGCGGGGACCAAATGAAACAGAGATGGCTTCTTGTAATACAACTGCATGTACATCGTCTGATCATCATCCACGACGCCACTTTTCATCCACTCATCCAGTTGTTGTTTCTGCATCTCGTACAGCGCCCCGAGGGCGTCGATGCCTCCCGCGAAGAACCCCCCGGGCACAATGTTGATGCTCATCTTGTGGAGCCTGTGAAGGTCAGACCTGAACAGCTCGACCCCCGGATCCCTCTCTAAGAAGGTCACCTGGTTGGAATGCTCAAAGAGTCCCTTGGGTATCCAGACCCCATCCGGTGGATAGATGTCAAGGCCGTGTCCATATCCACCGTCCAACCAGATAAAGTAGGATGTGTGAAACGGATTTTCAGCTATGACCCTGAGAAGAAAAAATGATCATAGGATTAGTGTGTTGAAATCATGATGATTCAAACAATCATTTTACATTTTTAAATGAGTTATTTCATTGATAAACAATAGTTTAGACAGCTGAAGCATGTCACAATCAGCAAGTTAATAAAGTATAGTTTAGACAGCTGAAGTATGTCCTACTCACCTATTCATAAAGTATAGTTTAGACAGCTGAAGTATGCCCTAATCACTTATTCATAAAGTATAGTTTAGACAGCTGAAGTATGCCCTACTCACCTGTTCATAAAGTATAGTTTAGACAGCTGAATTATGTCACACTCACCTATTCACAAAGTATAGTTTAGACAAATGAGGTATGTCCCACTCACCTATTCATAAAGTATAGTTTAGACAGCTGGAGTATGTCGTACTCAGGGACGTAAGACTCGCACAAATGTTTGTCCACCAGTTCGTTGTCTTGTTTGTACTCAGCACTGTTCATAATCTCCGACATCCGGTCTCTGTACCTGGCCACGGGGATGACGTCATCATTAAGTTATTAATACATTAATAATTGATATGTGCATAAATATAAAAAAAAGCCAAAAGGAGAATTGTTAAAAAAAATAATTCACTCGAATGTATGTCGTATGTATGTCGTGTGTATGTCGTTTTTATGTCGTCTGTATGTCGTGTGTATGTCGTTTGTATGTTGTGTGTATGTCGTGTGTATGTCGTGTGTATGTCGTTTGTATGTCGTTTTTATGTCGTTTGTATGTCGTTTTTATGTCGTTTGTATGTCGTGTGTATGTCGTGTGTATGTCGTGTGTATGTCGTATGTATGTAGTTTGTATGTCGTTTGTATGTCGTTTGTATGTCGTTTGTATGTCGTTTGTAAAACTTGCATTGCTGTTCCGACAACGTTTTGGTTAGTACGTCTGTGTGAGGGTGTGAGGGTGTGAGTGTTGTAAATTAATCTATGAATCCAAACTCATTAAATCGGACTTCACTCTCAACACACCATGACTCCAATGTCAACACACCAGGATTCCAATGTCAACACACCATGACACCAATCTCAACACACCAGGACTCCAATGTCAACACACCAGGACTCCAATCTCAACACACCAGCACTTCAATCTCAACACACCAGGACTCCAATCTCAACACACCAGGACTCCAATGTCAACACATCAGGCCTCCAGTCTGAACACACCAGGACTCCAATCTCAACACACCATGAGTCCAATCTCAACACACCAGGACTCCAGTCTGAACACACTAGGACTCCAATCTCAACACACCAGGACTTCAATCTCAACACACCAGGACTCCAAACTCAACACACTAGGATTACATTTTTATGGCCGTTGTAAAATTAACGATTTGAGGTGGGTGTGTGTGTGTGGGGGGGGGAGGGGGGAATGTAAGACATAGTCTTAATGAAAGCGAACAGTTTAAGTGAGACAGACATCTGGATAATGAAATTCAGCGCTCTACTGACCCACCAATGTTGTATCAACGCCTAATTGCACATCAAAGTATGCCTGACTCAAGCTGCTGACTTTATGCAAGAACGTGGTGCTATGTTGACTTGTACACAATGTTTGGCCAAGTCATTCACCGGTTTTCTGTTGACTTGTACACAACGTTTGGCCAAGTCAATCACCGGTTCTCTGTTGACTTGCACACAACGTTTGGCCAAGTCATTCACCGGTACTCTTTTGACTTGTACACAATGTGTGGCCAAGTCAATCACCGGTTCTCTGTTGACTTGTACACAATGTTTGGCCAAATCATTCCCCGGTTCTCTGTTGACTTGTACACAATGTTTGGCCAAGTCATTCACCGGTTCTCTGTTGACTTGTACACAATGTTTGGCCAAGTCATTCACCGGTTCTCTGTTGACTTGTACACAATGTTTGGCCAAGTCATTCACCGGTTCTCTGTTGACTTGTACACAATGTTTGGCCAAGTCATTCACCGGTTCTCTGTTGACTTGTACACAATGTTTGGCCAAGTCATTCACCGGTTCTCTGTTGACTTGTACACAATGTTTGGCCAAGTCATACACCGGTTCTCTGTTGACTTGTACACAATGTTTGGCCAAGTCATACACCGGTTCTCTGTTGACTTGTACACAATGTTTGGCCAAGTCATTCACCGGTTCTCTGTTGACTTGTACACAATGTTTGGCCAAGTCATACACCGGTTCTCCATGTTTAGTCCGGGAATTCAAAAAGCTGGACAAACGCATATCTTCCCGTCGTGTTGTTAGGTGAATTCCGGTTTTGGTTGTTTCCCCACTCGCCCCCCCTCCCCAACACGCTTTGGATAAAGCTAGAGGACCTAGTAGTTAGTAACAGCAACATGGCTGAAATTTCACTTAAATATAAAAGTATAAAATAATTTTAATATTCTTGGTTAGGGTTAACAGTATATCGAATGCCCCATATTAGGCCCCAGTATTAAATAAATCAATAAATAGGGCGATGTATATTATATCTTTATACTGTAACTGTTCATCGTGGGGGGGGGGGGTGTAGTTATTCAGTGGAGGCTACATTGTGTTGGTGCCGGGGTCTCTTGTAAGGGATCCCTGTTTATTAACAGCCTTTATTGAAATTATTTTTTGTTTTGTTTTTTGTTGTTGTTGTTCTCGTTGTGCCGTAACGTGTTTCAAGGTTTGGTTTCCTCATGAAACACCCTCAAGTCACCACCATCCGGTGGCTGCCTGTAATGTTACACCAGCGACACCATTGGCTCATGGCTGTCAGGGGCGCCACCAAGGCAAACGACCTGGTTGACAGAGAGGCCCCGCCGCCGCCCCCCCCAACCCCCCCCCCACTTACTTGTAGTACGGCAGAGTCGTTAGGTCAGTGACCACCACGTGAGTCCGCCCCTCCCTCCCCCGCCTCATCCAGTCGATGAAAGGTCTGCCCTTCGGGTCCACGAAGACGGCCACGTTGACGTCCAGCCGGAGCATCTGCTGCATGTAGAGCAGGTAGGTGTTGTACGGCCGGCTCTGCTCGTCCCACGCGCCCCGGCCAATGTCCAGCATGGCCGTGACCACGGTGAAGTTGTACACACCTGGGGAAGGGGAGAGGCTTGGTTGAAATGGTTGGCGGCGAAATCAGAGGCGAATGTCTGTCTGGAACTAACGCTAAGAGAGAGGGGGGAGAGAGAGCGGGGGAGAGAGAGAGAGGGGGGGAAGAGGGAGAGAAAGAGGGGGAGAGAGGGGGAAGAGGGAGAGAGAGAGGGGGAAAGAGTGAGAGAAAGAGGGGGGAGAGAGAGCGGGGGAGAGAGAGATCATTCACCGGTTCTCTGTTGACTTGTACACAATGTTTGGCCAAGTCATTCACCGGTTCTCTGTTGACTTGTACACAATGTTTGGCCAAGTCATTCACCGGTTCTCTGTTGACTTGTACACAATGTTTTGCCAAGTCATTCACCGGTTCTCTGTTGACTTGTACACAACGTTTTGCCAAGCCATACACCGGTTCTCTGTTGACTTGTACACAACGTTTGGCCAAGTCATTCACCGGTACTCTTTTGACTTGTACACAATGTGTGGCCAAGTCAATCACCGGTTCTCTGTTGACTTGTACACAATGTTTGGCCAAATCATTCCCCGGTTCTCTGTTGACTTGTACACAATGTTTGGCCAAGTCATTCACCGGTTCTCTGTTGACTTGTACACAATGTTTGGCCAAGTCATTCACCGGTTCTCTGTTGACTTGTACACAACGTTTTGCCAAGTCATTCACCGGTTCTCTGTTGACTTGTACACAACGTTTGGCCAAGTCATTCACCGGTTCTCTGTTGACTTGTACACAATGTTTGGCCAAGTCATTCACCGGTTCTCTGTTGACTTGTACACAATGTTTGGCCAAGTCATTCACCGGTTCTCTGTTGACTTGTGAGAAAGAGGGGGAGAGAGGGGGAAGAGTGAGAGAGAGAGGGGGAAAGAGTGAGAGAAAGAGGGGGGAGAGAGAGCGGGGGAGAGAGAGAGGAGGGAAGAGTGAGAGAGAGAGGGGGAAGAGTGAGAGAAAGAGGGGGGGGGAGAGAGAGGGGGAGAGATAGAGATTTTGTAACATTATTGCATTTTTAGAAATATACAATTTGCATCCTCTTTAAAAAAAATTCGCGTTAGAAAATGTTTGTATCACACCAATAATTAAGTTGGAAAAGGGAAACAATCTTGACAATTCTTGACAATAATTAATTTAGAACACATTAATTTGGGCATGGTGTCATTAGTAGCCGGTGGGCAGTCTTGGGATAAATAATAATGTTGGACAGGTGGATATCTTCTTGGTAAAATGACAAAGTTTAAATAGCAGTTGTCTGGTTCAAGGTTGGGGGGGAGGGGGAAACAGATGGTTGGTTCAAGATGGGAGAAAACACCGTACCGTTATATGGTTTTTAAAATTTAATCTGTTTAAAGATTTGGATTGCAGAATGAACAAAACGTAACAAAGAACTAAAAAGCCAGTAGAAACGACACCAAGCCTAGTGATACTAACACTATTCAATTTAATTATACTATTAAATTTCGATAAAAATAGAAATTCAAGCATACAGAAATAAAATACTATATCAAATTACAATGTAACAATTGAAAAATACAAATATTAATTAACACACACACACACATAAACAGTACAATCACATATAAACAGTACACTCTAGCAATTATTTAACGTCTCGTATATTCATATATGTTAGGAAAAATCGTAAAAAATGTCCCCCCCTCCCCCCCCCCCGCTAGGAAAGCTGTCGGCCTATATATATGGATTGAATCAGAACCACCTGGTATAGAAATATTCGAAATTGCGCCACCTGATTAGCATTCTTTAAAACAAAGAGAACACATTCAAACGTAAACAACCTTTTCCCAATCAAGGGAGGGGGTAAATAAGGAGTGGCACGGCACATTTAATAGGTGGCATCAGCATTCAAAGCAAGACGAAAAGGAGACAAGTGGTGAGTGGTTAAAAATAGGCCTGCACACATGCCATGACAATGTTTACCTCTCTCAGGCCCGAAGCCCTCCCAGCCCATGGCCGCAATGCTGTCCTCGGCCGCCTTGAGCCACGCCTTGTATTGGTGCACGCCGCAGACTGCAAGCACTGAGAGGACAACCAAGAGCACGAACCCGGCAGACAACTGTCTCCTCCTGTTGCTAGGGATCAGCCACATCTGGTGAAGAAACATTCAATCAGCGTCATATATCAAGATATTATACAACAAACACCAATTTAATATACATATATATAACTTTGGACCTGTTGCTTGGGACAGTGGCGTAGCTAGGGGGGGGGTGAGGTGGTGCGGATCGCCCCGGGTGACACCAATTGAACAAATTGCATATTTACATAACACACACTCCTCGGTCTAAACGAATTTCATAAAATACTAACCGATTCCATGTTAAAGTGTCCCACATATATACACACTCCAAATGCATTGATTGATTAAAAGTTCAAGGTCGGTGCGTCAGAAAAGAGGTGGCCCTATACTTGGGTCAGGTAAACACAGTTTCCACCATGATTCAACGCCGATGGAAATGTTCGATAACTCTCGTCAGTGGCCCACTTTATTTTGCCAACAAGTCAACATGTTGGGATCGCTGCTCATCATGCTGCTGTTTAAAACCGTGAGAGAGAAGTTTGATGGATGTGCGGCAGCGATTGAAACTCTGAGTGATCCTCTGGACTCTTTGAACACAGGAGATGCAGCACAAGGTCTTTTGACATGCAGCACAAGGTCGTTTGACATGCTGTCTGAGATGTCACGCGTATCTGCTAACTTGACCTTTGGGCGGATCTACTCGGCAGCAGTAGCAGAATCTGCAGACCAAAGGTTTCACTCTTAAAAGAGGTGACCTATCTAGAAAATGTAAGATTGTGTTAGCACGAGAAGCGCTGTCACTTCGTGGGACATGGTATTGAAAAAGCCACTTTTAAGAGCAGACGAGTATGGAATTTCGGTAGAGAGAAGATTATGGTTTAAGAAGAGAATTTCAGGAAAACAATCAATAGATGATGGACTCTCTCTCTCTCTCTCTCTCTCTCTCCCCCTCTCTCTGCGAGAAGAAAAAAAATATCCATTTTGCGAAGAAGCAATCGATTACATCATGTAATAATACGATATAGAACACCTAAAAATATAAAGTGTATAACTTGAAATGTACTACAAGGTTTCCATGCAATACAGCAGAAGTCCCCCAACATGGGTGCACATGGTCCCCAACCACCGGGCCAAGGGGACAGATAGAGCGCATCGTTGTTGTTGTTTTTGGTGGTGTTGTTGTTTTGTTGTTGTTGTTGTTTTTCTCTTCAATCAAGCCTAAAACACGCTGGCTCCGGTCCGTGGAAAAGTTGTGTTCCAAATAAAACAAAAACAAAATGGTCCCTGCTGCCATAACGGTTGGGGACCACTGCTTTACAGGACACGGGAAATGCGTGGAATACTTTGCAGCGTGAGTGAAGAATTCTCAGAATGATTGGTTTGTGTGTTTGTGAAATGGATGACATGTCGTGCAAAAAGACATGTCGTGTAAGAGGACATGTCTTGTAAGATGACATGTTATGTAAGATGAATTGCGTGGAAGAAAACATGTGTAAGATGACATGTCGTGTAAAACGACATGTCGTGTAAGATGACATGTCGTGCAAGATGTCATTTTCTCAAGATAGATCAATTTTATCAATCCTTCAGCCCATATTGCTACAGTGAGTTTATTCATCTAAACCCCTTTCATATGTTAAAAATAACATATTAGTCAAAAGTAAGAGAGAAACATAAAATATACGAGCCTTTTAAATAGTATCAACTATCAGCCATAATCTAGTTCCCGTGTTAAGATGTATGATGATTACTGCTGCTTGTTACTCATCATATAAGGAATGGTATGCCTCAGACAGACAGCATATATTTAACTAACTGTATCCCACAGCTAGGGGTAATGCCCCCCGGGGGCGGGCCAAGAATTTTGCCCCAACCTTCACGAAGAAAAAATCGGCAGTGGGCCGAAAATGCCACCCTTCAAGAAAACAGAGCCGTCGCGTGAATTTTGACGCCCTCCCCAGGGTGCAACATTTAGATTTTGCGCCTCCTTCCCCCCCCCCCCTGAACACACGTACACACAAAATAATTAAATACGAATTGCAAATTTAAAAATAATTAAATTAATATTTAAAGAAAAAAAAAAGTCATCCATGTCCATGTACCAATGGTTCCCCATCTGCATTTAAATTTGATGGTTGAAATTGTTTTTACATGACAACTGTTGACCCCTTAAATATCCGAGCCCCCCCCCCCCCCCCGGCAACATGGGGTTGCAGGGCCCACGTGACTCGCTGCGTTTAGGTCAGTGTCTTCGACAGTTCCGAGTAGAACGGTTTCATATCTTCTCGTCAATATCAGAGGAAAACAAAAGGCGGGACTGCAGCAATTTAAAAAAAAAAAAAATCTATTGCGATAACGTGAGATTTATGGTAATCGCAGGTGTGTCCAATGATATCGCTTGCTAGACATGGTATCTGAAGTTGGTCTACAGCAGTGGTCTACAGCGGTGGTCTACATTAGTGGTCCACAGCAGCGGTCTACAGCAGCGGTCTACAGCAGTGGTCTACAGCAATGGTCTACAGCAGTGGTCTACAACAATAACTCTATAGAGTGGATTGAATAAGTTAATCGTTTCAGCTCTCAGTGCGGTGCACTAACCCAAGAAAATCTCCATTCAGCGGCGGAGAAGAAACCAACGGACCCTATCCAGGCTGGGTCGTGTTAGCTCCGTGTTACTCATGAGGTGCAAGGACTCGCATCGGGAGCCGCTTCCCCACCACTAAATTATTCCCCCCCCCCGCCAAAGTGCAGCCAAACTGTAGTTTTGTGATTAGCGAATGCATAATATAAATAATATTTAGTGATAGG